AACGATCGGATGACCTAACAATTATGCGATCATTGAGAATTCCATATCCGATCTCAAGATGAACTTAGCCCCAGATAACCCATGAGGTTATTTTCCCTTTCCCGAAACATTTGTTTACGTTTTTTATGATTGAATACCTACATGATTCTATCGTTGACATGATCCGAACTGCGTTCAGTCAGTTACATGTTTAAAGTATTGCACTCTTTAAGCAAAATAGATGAATAACTCTATCTTATGATGTGCGTACGGTATTGTTATTGCGCTTTTCAGGTATGAGTTGCACATTTTTCGATTTCTGTACGACTTCTATTTGAATGACCGCCCATAGAAGTATAATCCGAACCAAACATCAGTGCCATGTACGTCGTCCACGAGATGGGTTATAGATGCCAACATGGGCTGAGTCGATGAACAAGTCTCGTTGTTGATCTAGAATGGAATGAACCTCAAGAGTACAGAGGTCTTAGTGAGCCATGGGCTATTCGTTAAAGTAGCATGCTATAGGTGTCCGGTCAAATCAGATATGATCAAACATGTTTATTGATAGGTGAAACTAGTCGACTGTACGGCTGCATGTGATTTGATGTGAGCGCTTACTTGAATCAGTTATTTGTTCACGATCCTTCGGTATCTCGATGGAGTTCTCATCATCCGCCATACTTTCATCCACATTGTGCATTTTCGAGGTCTCATTTGGGATGACGTTGTTTGCCGATTTTCCATCCAACTTCAACGACGAGTTCATTTGTCCTATTGGACTCAAATTGGTCGAATCGATTCCAACCATGTGTACACTTGGTACGTAATCGGTTGGGCTACTCACTTGTGTGTACTGACTTCTATTAATCTCCGATAATATTGGTTTAATTTCAGTTTGATCTGTCCCCATGATCAATGGAGCATTATGTTTTTCTGTTTGCATACCGAATGATAAAGGTGATTGTATTTGTGCAGACACAATTTCTAAATTATCGATGTCACCGACTTGGCTCATGATCGAACTTTCACCCTCAGGTTTGATTAAACTCAAGTCAGTGTGTTCCACTGTGGGCGAAAAATCTGGATAAACGATGAGTAATACAAAAACGGCGATAGACAAATATCGAAACAACGGTAAATGCGAGTAACTTCATGATTCCAATTCGCCAGAATGAAAAAATTGTAATACTCCCCAATAATTACAAACAGCGAGGACTTAAATATTCGCGTTCCATTGATAGTCAAAATCAAATATGCAAAAGTAATTCTTGCTGGGCACATTTAAGCATGCTTATCAATCAGTCAAGGCCACTTTTACAGGACAGGGAAAATTCCTTGAAATCTTTAAAAACCTGTGAACTGATCAGGAGAAAGTGAAGCATTGTGATTGAATTGTGATGCATATTTCTGAAGAAGAAGAATAATTTCGTCCAATTGAACAGCGCATTTATTAAGCACCAATTTACCATTACACAAATCAAGCCCCAAAAACGCTTCATGCGGCCAAAGGGTGATTTTACACTAAGTTATGAATTTATACATATATATCCACAGAGTAAATAATGTGAAATCTGCTAAGAAAACAGGGCTTGCGGCAAACGAAAGTACAATTAATTTTGCCGGTTCAGAAGTTAGACTTTAACTCAGTGTTGTTACACTAAATTGGGTGAATTTAAGTGACCAGTCCAACAGCTCTGTCGCGGAGTTTCACAATCCGTTTGCTCCTGAAAACATCGAAACCGTCCACTCGGACGACACCGCTCTCAATCTGCAGGTGTAAGCAACTTGTGTGGAGTAAAGTCACTCCTACACGTTTGCATTGTTTCTGATGCACCAGCTTCCGGACGTTATCGATTTTTCCCACAAGTGTGCGAATGTTAATTTAAAAAAAATAGACGGATCTGTTATTATGTTGATGGAACTTAAAGAAACCCATGAGCTAGCGCCAGAGTATATTATGGTGATCCTGAATCCTAAATCTTGGCTGCTTTTAATGGTTCCTCACGGACTGAGCAAAAGCTGAAATTCGGACGTCATACGCGAAAACACAAAGAGATTTCATAATGGAACAGCAGTAAGACAGCATTTGACCGTGAAAAATCCATGAATTGATGTAAACGTCCACAATCAAGAGTATCCTCCGCAAAATAGTAAACATTTTTCCGATTTGTCAAAGTGCCACCGAAAATCAAAGGATTCGCCAGAAAAATGTATCAGCCATCTCGCTTCCTAAAAGGATATCCCGATTTTGAGAACAGGCATTATTTTGTCCGACCTGCGTATAAGCACAGCTGTTCCTTTTTAAAAAAGATCAAGTTATTTAGCAGCGGCGATGCAATTACTACCATTCTCGTCTGGTCTTGTGCTCGCAGTTTCTACCAATGGAACACATTTCCAACTCCTATTTTTCGAAAGGTTTCCTCCGGAGCAACCAGAGTGTGAGCGCAAAACCAGTGGTTTCTCGACGATTGACTAGCTGCAATTCTTTTCATACAGATCTTCCAATGACACGATCTAGGATAAATTCACATTCATGAGTAATGCGTTTACCGTTATCAGAGACTTATGTGACAGATAAAACGAACCGTCACCAAACTGACCGACTACATGTTTTTGTTAAGTGTATTGTAATTCAGACATTATCTGGAAATGGTAAGAATATCTACTGGTTGTCTCAAAGGTAACCTGTGCGAATGGAAGCCCAGGCTATACGAAGAACACAGCACCTTCGTGGCTAGTTCGATTTATGATATGGCGATATTTTACCGAAGAATCAATCTGAAAATTTATAAAAATCTGTTTTCATTTACTCCTGTCACAGCATAGATCCTGATAATCACAGACCGACTTCACAGATCAAGTCACGTCAAGGTCACAGATCGTAGCATACAATTGCAAATAAAAATGGCAACAGTATCAAATCTATGATTAAATGAGTACTGTATCCTTCAATAGTACCCTTTTCTGGCAACCACTGGAGGTATCCAAGTAATTTTGCAAAGAACGGCAATCATACACAAACATAAATATATGCGTAGATACATATGTACATACATACATACATATATATATATATTTGTATACATACATCTGAGTATCGATTATTATACATTTCCTGGTTTTCAACTAAGCGTACGACTTACCCGGGATCGTTAACGCCGTTTCACGTATCGATGAATGTTGTTCCGATACATCCACCATGCTCGTATCCATTTCCCTATTGGGAACCAAGTGAGGGATTGCTTTTGTGCTTTGTGTGTTGGCATCGACTGTTTCATCTTTATCAACTTCTAATTGGTCATTACGTTTATTCGGATTTTCCTCCGGCGATGTTGTGGATTCCATACCTTCAGCCTGATTGTCCGTTTCATTCGCCGCATTGCTCCCCTTGAGTTCGGTCATCATGGTTGGCTCATCGCCGATCGTTACGTTTTCGTGCGTACTTTGTTGGGAATGTTCATTTGCGGCTGTCCAATGCATTTCATTGGAAACGTTGAAGTTGTCAAGTTGCTCAGCAGCAGTCCCTGGAGTGTGATTTTTTTCGCGGGGAGTGATAAGTATAAATCAGGTGATGGGAATAGAAATAGTAGATTAAAAGCCTAAACGACTTTCTAGTGGGGGTTTTATCCCTGTTTCAAATCGACATTCTTCGAAAAACTTGAGACTTTTGTACTGCTCGCCGTTTAAAAATCACCTGTCATTCATTCGCATTGACCAACGACAATTTATCATATGCGTTCGGGAAATTGGAGAGACATCACAACTGATTGTCATTACAATGTGCCTCACGCAATGGTATCGTATACAGGAGTAGGATACTTTGGTTGTATTTGCTGTGTCAAATTCAGGCAAACGATTTGCAACGCCGTTGACCGTCAATATGAATTGTAACTTCCATGTTTAAAAAGGATAAACAGAAGTCCTTGATTCATACATTATTGTATGTCGATTGTGAAAAGTTCAGTAGCCTCGGTCGGATTGGAACCCACGCATGGACACCGCTGTAGCTTGAAAAGTTCAGTAGCCTCGGTGGGATTCGAACCCACGCATGGACACCGCCTACGCTTTGCACGCGCATGCTCTACCAGCTGAGATACGAAGCCACACCGATAGCACTGATCTTTTTCATATTCCAATTTACCCATCCAACTTACAGAGACATGTGGCATCCACCAGTTAGCATGTAAGCTGACTGCCTCGACAGGTTTTCCTTAGAATTCACCGGACTCCACCGAATGAGCTTCTAAGACAAGGTTAATTGTTCACCGAGGCTACTGAACTTTTCACAATCGACATATAAACTTCAAATTTGCCAAACATCAATCATACATTATTGTCTAATCTGCTTGTTTTGAGAGACAGATGGATTGTTATTGGGTTGACGAATAAAAATTCTATCGATTGTGAGCTAGATGAATCTTCAACGCAACCCTATTCAACGCACTAAAAAGAGCAGAATCCATAGCGCAGTAGACAGTAAACCACGTGAAAAAACGTGTATTGTTCATGAGTGGCTGTACGGTTCTGAGTGAGCGAACCGCCTGGTTAAGAGCCAGATTAGTCAATATTAC